CAGTGGTGGGCAGTGGGCAGGCTGGAAAGGAGAGGAGAACCATCACCTGGTTCTTCACCTTCACCTTTGTGAAAAACCAAGAGAGAAGCAGAGCAGGGGAGGGAGGGGGAGAGACAGACAGACTGACCTGGAATCTAGCTTTGCCTGGAGCCAGATGCAACTTGGGCTTTTTCAGTTTTGTAAGTCAATAAATTCTCTTTTAAATTAAGTTAGTTTAGAGTGGGTTTAACTTGCAACTGAAGAAATCCCAGTAAATCCAGGGCAGCGCCTCCAAAGTTAGTCTGGAATTCACTGAGCATGAGCAAAGCTCCGTACCAAGAATCCCTAGAAAGGAGAATAACTTGGCAATGGCTGCAGCTTAAGGTCATCTGTAGCTTGACTGGACACTGTCAGAAGTCTCTTTGATTTTATTTCAGGAATTTTTACATATTTGCTTTCCATATACCTTTCGTATTGACGTGATGAGACAGAACTACGACATTTTTTCGAAATATTGGAGCCAAATCGTCCTCCCTCCCTCTCTCTCTCTCTCTCTCTCTCTCACACACACACACACACACACACACACGCACGCACGCACGCACGCACGCACGCACTTCTGGAGGTTGCCCGTGGCAGCAAGACTGCTGCGGGAGTGCCAAGCATGGTGCTCTCTCACCACAGTCAAGAGGAACAAGTGGGGGCCGGGGCAAAATCCTTTCTCCAAGGCCTCCCAACAGGCTTAAGCTGAATTCTCTTTAGCCAGAACTGGGTCACACAGGTACCCTGACTGTGGGAGGGGCTGGAAAAGTGAACATTCAGCAAATAGAAATGAGATTACCGAGACGGATTTAAACCAATCGTGACTTTCCTCAGGAGCTAGTGCAAGGTCCTATCTTTCTTGAGATTAAAGTATCTCCAGTCGCCACCTGCAAAAAAATTGCATTCTGTTAGCAGGGAAAGGGGAGTGGGTGGGAAAGGGTAGTGAGTAAGTGACAGGGTCCACCATATAGGGCACACAGGGCCATGTTTACATTTGGCCTCGACGGGAGGCTGGTTTTGTTTTTGTTTTTCATAGAAATTACCATTTTAATTAAAATGCAGACTGGAGAACTTAGTATATGAAGAGGAAACACTGGGGGCTTAAAATCCTTGAAAACATCAGAATTTGAAGCCAGAGCCTGGGTTTTTAACCGGGTGGCTTACTGCTGATTGGTTGAGTAAATTTGTTTGTTGAATGAATGAACGCATGCCTACCACGGTGATAGCTTTGGGGCTGGTGTGTCAGAACTGAGCTGGTCTGGCTCTGCCACCACTCCCTGTGCGATTTCAAGCTGACCTCTCACAGCTTCTAGTTCTTTCTCCAATGAGGAGGCTTGGCTGGTTGAACTGTGTCCCTTCCGTTCTAAAAGGCTTGAGTTCAGATTGTTCTTGACCCCTGTGACCTTCTATTGTTTACTCGTGGGTTAATCTCAGCAGGCAGCCTTTCCAGCCAAGCAAAAGCAGTGTCAAAGCAGCAGCACGGGGCTCAGACGGACCGAGCACAACACAGCCAGCCTCTCCAGGCTGACTTTTTGGAGCAAAGGCCCAAGAAATCAATGTTGCTTAGGTAACACTGTGAGACAGGAGAGGGTGAAAGCATCACCAACAGGCTCTAGAGGGAGACTCAGTGGCTGCACAGGCCTTGGGAGCACCCAGTTCTGCTGAGCCCCACGCTGATCCAGTTTTCTCTCCGGCCTCAAGGATGATGAGGGCTGAGTCTGGGTCCTGGGTCCTGGCCCCGGATTCCTCAGAAGGCAGTCTGGGGGCTTTAGGGTGGATGTGTCAAGATGCTTTCAGGCCGGAACAGACGGGCCTCGAATGTTGGTTACATCCAGCTCCCGCCAAAGTCTCTCTTCTCTAATTCATGAGACAGCCCTCAGCACTAGGAAAGTGGCTGAGAAGGGGGCAGAGCAGTAAGTGGCAAACCTGCGACGTGAGGGAGGAAGCGCAAGACCCCAGGATGGGCGGACGTCGGCCTCGTGTTTTGTCAGAAGCAGGTCCAGAGGCAGGCAAGGAGGACACCGGGCCCTGGAAGGGTAGCAGCCCCATGAGACCCCTGCCTTCCTCCCCTCGGCTGGCTGCACACAGGTCCTGTGAGCTACAAGAGGTGAGGGGTGCCTGGGATGCAGTTGGGGTGTGTGGCTGGAGAGAAGCTGACCAGGGAGAGAGCGTGTATGTGCACAAACCTCTGAGTAGCTGTGCAGAGGGACAGGCCCAGGGAGCAGGGGCTGAGCATAAGCCCCCAGACCATAAGCCCGAGGGGAGGGGCATCTCCTGCACGGCTATAGTCAAGGCAGGAGGTGCAGCTGGGAGGGGTATGGGAGCTAAGAACCGTTCTGATTCCTTTCTACCCTGAGGCCGTGGGATTCTAGAAATTCATCAGGATGGACTTGATAGAAACTCCAGGTATCATCTTCATAAGAGAGGCAGAAGGAAAAAAAGAAAAGCCCACACACAAGTGTACCTTTTTATATAGAATTTGTACAATATATTTCTTTTCATTTGCATATTTTACCCACAACTTAACATCCTTTATACAGGCTGAACTTACTCAGCTGATATAATCAAAATTCTTTCCTTCAACCAAATAAGAAAAATTCAAAATCGTAAACCTGTAAGAAAACAAATTAAAAACGATGATGAAAATAAGTCACTCCTCGTTAGGAACAGCGTCTGTCTGTACAATATACATGGTTTGGAACAGATTTCTTTATAGATTAGGCACATGTTTCCACAACACCTTCATTCCTGCCAGTTTTATCTCATTCCAGGCAGTCCTGCCTAAGAAGGATCAGAGGGATGTTGGTCTTGATGGAAATCGCGCTTTTGGATGCTGCTGGCCCAGCTGGGGACCAGGGGAGCGGGGCCTGGCTCAGCGGCGCCACCCAGTGGCTGGAAGCAGAGGCGGGTGGGATGCAGGGGAGCTGGGCCAGGCAGGGCCTCCCAGGAGAGAGCAGCAGTTGTGTGTGAAGGGGAAACCAAGGCTTATTCTGTGCAAACTGAACACAGAGAGACCAGAATAGCAAGGGTGGTGTACACAGAGAAGCTATGAGGAGTCCAGCGTTTATTTACAGTTTATCTTCCAGGAGGGAGGATGGGGAGCAAAGCTGGTGGCTGCTGTCAGTTTGAGGCACGGAGGGGTATCGGGGAGGGGGGCGCATGGCGAGGGTAAGCAGTGAGTGCACCATCTCCATGCTGACCTTCCGTGGAGCCCCTCAGTGAGCCTGAGCCCGCAGTAGGGACCTCTCCTCCCAAGCACGGCGCTTCTCTGTGATCTCCCTCCTCACTGCGAGACCCACCCGGGTCTGGGTGGTACGGAGTGTAGGCCCTTCTCTGGGGATGCAGGCAGAGCAAAATATGAGAAAGCGGCTTTACCAAGCCAGCAGCGCCTCACACCTCAACACCACGGGACACCAGGCCATGCCCGGGCCTTTCCGACACCAGGGTGATGGGCTTCAGGTCACCGAGCTTCAGGACCTGTCCTGTTTGTTTCTGTCTCCTTTGAATTCTTCCCTCCATAATGGCTCCACATGCGGCTTGGGGCTGGGCTGAGAATCCAATTCTAGGGCTGCAGAAGGTCGCTGCACCTTGGCCTCCTGACCCAGAAGGCAAAAGTGCTCTTGTGGTGAGATGCTCCTGGGACCAGGAGTCTTGGGCCCTGCAGAGGGGGCTTCCGAGGCCATGGCAGTGCTGATCTGCTCAACTTGGCCCTGGCTACGATGAGCCTTCCTTGGGTTTGGCCCTGTGTGGGGAGACATGCTCGGGCCCAGACCCCCGCCCTTAAATGGCAGCTGGCTCAAACATTCTTCAAGTGGCGAGTCCCACTGAGGCTTATCCATGGCACAGGTGCCAACCCAGCCTCACACTCCAAAGCGTGGCTTTGGAAAGAGAATAGTAATCAGCACTTCAGGGCAAGACTACAACCATTTAAAAAAAAAACGTGGAAAACAGCATTCACTAGAACTAATGTAGTTATTGCCAGACAAGTGACAGCCAAATAACCACGGAGAGTCCCAGAGGTGGATGTGATGGATTACCACGACCGTGGAGCAGAAATACAATCATGTGGTTTTGTTTGTTTTTACTTCTAAGGTAAGATATCCTGTGATTACATTTCAAATCTTTAGGTACAGAAGCTAAAGAGTATTCTTCAAGTTCTGTTACTTTCACACAAACCAGTTTGTCCCCCTGAATGACCGATCCACTGGTCATGCCCCCGAGCTTCTCTCAAGGGAGTTGGTGTGGTTCTTTCTAAGAACATGAGGTGGGAACCGAAATATGTTAAAACAACAACTAAAACAACGCAGCTGTGCTGGGAGCAGTGCACAGGTGGACGTGCACGGCAGCCTGCTGGCTGTTCCCAAGGGCACTTGTTCTCACCAAGGATTTCTCCGGGACGGCCGAGGCTATGCAGGGGGCCAGTGCGGCAGTGGGTTCCATACTGAATGGTGGGGACCAGGTGGCAGCCCCGAGGGGCTCTCACTGGTTTTGGTTTGGATGACCCAGTCTCAAGAAGCAAAAGAGGAGCTCCCAGGCTGCTGCTGGAGGTCCTACTGAGAAAGGTGGCCCAGGGCAGACCCTGTCTTCCCCTGAAGGTCAAGTGCAGGCAGTTCCAGCTCAACGGAGACAGAGCCCTTTCCAGAGCGGCTGCAGCCAGGTCTTGGGGCTGTGGCTTCTGCAGGGACAGACCCTGGAGGAGGCTGGCCTCTGAACAACCTTCTCAAGGGCCTGCTGCCTGCCCTTTCTGAATAATTTTGCACTGGTCTGCTTATTCTCACATGCTATGGTACGTGCAGGTGCCTGGCCTGTGACACGGGAAGTTCTCGGAGACATGGCGGCTTGGCATTCTAGTTGGGGTGGAAGGGGAAGCTCAAGGAGAGCCAGGCACCGACGCCACAGGAATCTTCCCGAATGAGTTTAGGCATCTGCTCTAAGATCCTTGTGGACAGCTTAGCGTTCCATGCACACCATACCAGGGGCTAACACTCAACATTCCAGAGGCGGGTGGCCTTGTTTGGGTAGTTGATGGCCAGGCTGATAGCAGCAATGTTCTGCAGAGCCTGTGGAGGGAGAAAGAGTCATCACCAATATCAAGAACCGGTCACCTGCTGGGTCACTAACTGCTGACAGAAGACCCTCAGCTGAGCACCTGAGGCGGGCAGGGGAGAGGCAGACGCGAGCCAGATGTGGTTCCCCTCACCAGGGGGACCACAGTCTAGAGTGAAAGACAAAGCTATCAAGAAAGTCCACATGGAAACTCCAAATGTAGTCAGAATCATCACTGTCCCGAGAGAGGAGCAGGTGCAGTTCTGGGGGCTCAGAGGGCACATCTGCGGGGGGGTCTGGGAAAGCTGTTTAGGGAATAGGGACAGCAGCACAAAAGTGCAGAAGGGAAGAAACAAACAGCCAGTGCCCCACCCCCCGCCCCCCGGAAGCAATGCTGGGAAGGCAGACGCCCTGGAGCCAGGCCAAGGCTGGTCTCCAAGCCAAGGCAGCAGGAGCCGGGGGCGGGGGCTGGAGAAGGAAGAGGCGGAAGCAGGGAGAAGAGGCAGAGCGCCAGTCCAGCAAAGTGGACAGGCTGTAGGGAGGGTCAGAATGAGGATTAGGAGACCGGACACAGCGGCAGGTGAGGGAGGAGCCACAGCAATATGTGATGTGGTGTCAAAGCTTCCGGTGTCAAAACGGTCAAATGTCAAGATTTCACTGTGTGAAACCTTGGGACACCACGGGTGGTGATGGCAGGGCTGGCAGGCATCCTTCGGGAAGGGAGGGAGTTTTCACTCTGCCTTCTGGTCTCAGGACGATTCACACAAACCCCTCTGTAGTGGACAGGGGAAGCCCGCTTCTAAGCAGGCACTCTGACCCTTTTTTGCAGGAGGACCGTAGGTTCACTGAGAAAACTTGCCAGGAACAGAGTGCAGGGCTCTGGCCAGGAGTCCCAGCTGGATGCCCCCTCAAGTGAGACTGCGGGCAAATCTTTCCCTTCTCTGAGCCTCCGTGTCCCCATCTGTCCACTGTGGACGCAGACCACACACTCTACGATGTTCAAGGAGTCTGTGAGCCTAAGGTTCTCAAAATGTAGTCTGGAGCCTGCGGGTTCCCCAGACCCTTTCAGGGGCTCCATGTCGTGGAAACAATTTTCATAATAATACCAAGACATTATTTCTCTTTTTTCACTTTCATACTCTCACGAGTATATACAGTGGAGTTTTCCAGAGGCTGCTGTGTGATAATAGAACAACTGAAAGCAGAAACAGATCTGCGAATCCAGCTGTCTTCTGTTAAGGAAGACATTAAAGAGATCTGCAAAAATGGAACACAACGCTACCCTTCTCAAAAATTATTTTGTTTTGAAAAATACTGTTGTTTTTCACAACTGTAGTATTAAATAGAATGAGATTATTTTAAAAAACAAATTGATAAGTGTTTAGCATTTAATTTCTAACTTAATTTCTAAATTTAAAATCTAATTTAATTTCTAACAGTATATATCAATATATATAACGCACATAAACAAAAGCTTTTGGGGATCCTCAGTAATTTAAAAGCATAAAGGGGCCCTGAGACCCAACAGCTGTCAGAGAGGAGTTCTCCTACCAGGGAAGAAAGTTACAACCAAAAATATCTGAAATCCTCTATGGAAACTTCAGGGATCAGCCAAACCATAAATTTAAGGCACTGGTTGTTCTGGTTTAAAAGCCACAAGTTCTTGCTAGTGTCTACTGACCCCACAGTTTAATACGAACGACACTGATAAATGGGGCTCCGCTGCTCTCTGTGACACCAGTAGGAAGTGGCTGATTCGGAACAGAGCTCCGTGTAAAGCCGGGGTGGAGTCTGCACGGGTGCCGGGGGAAGTTCGGCCGCCCGGGGAGGGTGTACCTGCGCCGCGCAGCGCAGAAGGTGGTCGTCGGTGGTTAAGGCCAGCAGGTAATCCTGCAGCAGGCCGAGCTCCTGCGGAAAGAGCAGAGGGCAGCTGTCAGAGGCCACCTGCTAGCGGACACCCACCCACGACCCACGACCCACGACCCACGGCCCCAGAAGACTCGGGTGGGACACTGCTGCCCACTCTGGCGGACATCTCACTGCCTGCTTTCCTTGGGAGCCATGGAAGGAGCAGGATGGTGGGGAACCAGGTGTCCTGACTCACCGCAGTCTCCTCACTATAAAACGAGGGCTTAAGCTAAAGAGTTCTGAAAGGCCCTTTCATCTCTCACAGTCAATGAGTCTATTGTGCTGAGGGGAGGGAAAAGAGGAAAAAGAAAGAACCTGTTGGTTTATTTTCCCAAACTCACTGCTGTGAAGGGTCGATCCAGGGCAGTTTCCTTCCCCCTTTGGCATCAGGCCTGAGCAAACAAGCAATCTCAGGGAGGGCCTGGCTCCCTGGGGCGGGAGAGAGGGGAACCCCGGGCCCCAGGCCACGCCTGTCTCCCTGTGCGGGTTTGCCAAGCCCCCACGACACCCTGGGCTCTCAGAGGGCTGTGACCTGAGGCCCAGCGCTGGCCCCAGGCAGCAGACGAAGCAGTGGCCCGGAACCTGGTGGGGAGGCAGGACAGGCCCTCACCTGGGCGCGGTTCTCAGTGACAAAGAAGAGCTCGGTAAGGGCGCGATGCAGGGGCAGCAGGATGCCAGGCTGTGTCACGTCCTCAAACAGGCTGTACTCCATTTGGGTGAAGAGCTGCCACAGGGGCTTCAACAGCATGAGGTCACAGAGGTCGCTGTGGGAGAGGGGTATGGTTTGCTGGGATCACGCCCATCAGACGTCGGACAGACAAGAGGGTAGCTGCTGGGCACTGCAGCTCCAACACTCCCCGACCCCCATCCAGTAAAGGCAGGACAAGACAGTTCCAGTCACCTCACACCCCCCAAAACAGCCCAAAATATTCACCAGTGGCAAATAAAAAAAGGGGCAGCATCTCAACTTCAAACCAGGACTCCAGGGAAAAGGATATCCTCAAGCACATTCACGTAAATCAACTGCACATCTTTAAAAATGGTTGTTAAAAACTTCCAGTGACAGCGGAAAAAAATCTCAAGATAAACAAGTGGAAAAGAGCAAGATATGCAACATAAAATGTAAACATTTAAAAACTCTATATGTAGTATTGTGTGACCATATTAAAAACAATAGTAAATAAACATATCAAAGATGTTATCAGGGCTTCCCTGGTGGCGCAGTGGTTGAGAGTCCACCTGCCGATGCAGGGGACACGGGTTCGTGCCCCGGTCCGGGAAGATCCCACATGCCGCGGAGCGGCTGGGCCCGTGAGCCATGGCTGCTGAGCCTGCGCATCCGGAGCCTGTGCTCCGCAACGGGAGAGGCCACAACAGTGAGAGGCCCGCGTACCGCAAAAAAAAAAAAAAGAAAAAAGAAAAGAAATAGGCAAAGGACCTAAAGAGACATCTGTCCAAAGAAGGCATACAAATGGCCAACAGGTACATAAAAAGGTGTTAAATTATCACTAATCATCAGGGAAACGCAAATCAAAACCACAATAAGATATCACCTCACCTGTGTTAGGATGGCTTTCATCAAAAAGATAAGAGAAAACAAATGCTGGCAAGGATGTCGAGAAAAGAGAGAACCCTTGTGCACTGTTGGTGGGAACGTAAACTATGCACAACAGTATGGAGGTTCCTCAAGAAATTAAAGCTAGAACTACCAAATGATCCAGCGATCCCACCTCTGGGTATATCCAAAAGAAATGAAATCATTATCTCAAAGAGATTATCAGTACTCCTATGTTCATTGCAGTATTATTCCTAATAGCCAATGTCTGGAAATAATGCCTGTCAATGGACGAATGGATAAAGAAAATGTGGTGTATATATACACAATGAAATATTATTCAGTTATGAGAAAAAAGGAAATCCTGCCATTTCCGACAACACAGATGAACCTGGAGGGCATTATGCTAAGTGAAATAAGCTAGATAAAGAAAGACAAATACTGCATGGTATCACTTTTATGTGGAATCCAAAAAAAAGTCAATCCTATAGAAACGGGGAGTTAGAATGGTAGTTGCCAGTGGCTGGGAAGTGGGGGAAATGGGGAAAGGCTGGTAAAAGGGTATAAACTTTCAGTTACAAGATGAATAAGGTCTGAAGATCTATTATACAACATGGTGACTATAGTTGATAATAGTGTACAATACTATAACACATAACAGAAATTTGCTGAAAAGCAAATTTCAGCAAGAGGGTGAAATTTAAGTGTTGTCACATACCACAAAAAAAGGTAAAAAAAGGTAAACATATGAGGTGATGGATATGTTAGTTAACTCGATTGTGGGAATCCTTTCACAATGTATAATGTATTACGTATCAAATCATTACCTTCTATACCTTCTATACTTTAAATACATTACAATTTTATTTGTCAATTACACCTCAATAAAGCTGGGGGGGGGGAAGGAAATAAACTAATTCTAAAATTTACATGGACAGGTAGGGTAAAAACAGCCAAGACAATCTTGAAGATGAAGAACCAGCTGAAGCATTTATGCTGCCAGATAACGTAAATTTGCTATAAAGCTACAATATCTAAGTGTGGCACTGGCACAAAGATAACCAAAAAGACCAATGGAACAAAAGCAACCACGGATGGATCCATGTGTATAAGGACACCTTCTCTGTGACAAAGATGGCACTGGAGTGTGGTGAGGGGAAAGGTGGGCTTTTGAGTTAAGTGGAGATCCATGTGAGAAAAAGCAAAGTTTGACCCTACCCTTCAAATCATGCACTAAAATTCATTCCATGTGGATTGTAGACCTAAATATGGAAGAAAAAAATAATTAAGCTTTATCTTCATGACCCCAAGGTCAAATGAGGCAAAAATTTCCTAAATAGGACAATGAAAGCTCTATCATAAAGGAAATGAGTGATGAACTGGAAGACATTAAAATTAGCAACTTCTCATCAAAGACACCACTAACAGAGTGAACGGCAAGCCCCGAAGTGGGGGGAGATATTCACAATACAAATACCCAGCAAGGGACTCGTATCCAGAAGGCAGCTTACCTGTGGGTGCAGCAGAGCACGATCCTCAGGAGTAGGTGGATGGCTTTTAACCGCTGATGACCAGTCTGGCGACAGGCCACGCCCACCAGCCATTCCCAAATTTTGGCCAATGGGAGGTGCGGCACAACTCTTTCCTCTGACAGCATCTGCTTCAAAATCTCGAATCCTGGCAACCCCCACAACACAGAGACATTTGAAAAATATAAACTGCTCAAGTTTTAATGAATAGGAGGAAACCACTGTGATCATTTACATTTCACCTGAAATAATGCCTTATGTAAAAGCAACATAGGAACACTTTCAGTTCTTCCTTTTCGCAGAATGCCCTGGCAAATTCTAAGAGAACAAGCATCTTTCCTAGGTCTTGACAGATGGCTCTTTAGAAGTTACAACCTGCCAACTCCAGCACATTCACAAGGGACGTGCGTGGGCCTTGTGGACATATTCGTTGAAGTCTCAGAGAAAAGTACCTGCTTTGATTTTAACAAAGATCAGTGACATAATGGCACCGACCCCCAGAGTGTCCCGGGCTGGGAGATCATGCAAACAGAAAGACCAGAGCACACACCTGTCTGGAATCGCCCCAGGTGCCCAGCCGTCACAGTGAATTTGTAGCCCCACTCGGTGTTGCTCATGTCAGAGGTGAAGCGGTAATACAGAGTATCTCCTGGGGCACACAAGAATCAGAAAACAAGTCAGGACACTGCAGCAACAGGGAAAGGCAAGTGAGTGCTTTCCAGTGAGACAGATTCAACACAGTTTTAAATCCTTCAACAATTTCCCTTCTAGGTACTTAACGTTAAGAGTCTGTACAACTCAGTATTTATTTACTACCTGGAAGCTCAAAATCTTTCCATTTCTGTTGAGACCCACTGAAGTTGTGTCGATCCTGCTTAAAGTCACTGCTGCTGGACATGGCTAGCTCGTCACAGCCTTCCTCTGTATTGCACTGAGGATCAAATTTGATTGAGAGGTAGATTGCACCAGGAATGTGAACTTTATCCTAGGAGGGGAAACAAGGACATTCCTGTCATCGCTGGCCACTGGACAGTGACTGAAGGCTTCCTTGTGCCAATCCTGCAGTTAAAACTGGGCACGTAAGAAGGGGTGAGTCACAGCCCCTGCCTTCCAGGAGCTCTCGGCCCAGCTGGGTTGGGGAGCACGCACATGGCTGCAAACACGGCAGGAAGCACACTGTGCAGCCTGGGGCACGGCTTGAAGGAGTGGGGGGAGGGGAGGGGAGGCAAGGGCAGAAAAGAGTCCCAGTGAAGGGATGTTTGGGTTGCTGTGGAGACTGGGGGCATAGGAGCAGCCTGTCCAGGAGGAAGGAATGGCAGGAGGCAGCTGAGAGAGATGAGCACCTGGGGGGTACATTCCAGGCAAAGGAAAGAGCACTGACTGGAAAGCCTGAAATGTTCAGGGAATAACAGGAGCTTGATGTGTCTGAGGTACAGGGTGAGCTTCGTGTGCACATATGCTTGGGAGATGGGGACAGGGGTGATGTGACCCTGGAGAGGCTGGCAGGGACAGATGCAGAAGGGTTTGTGTGCTAAGATGAAGCGTTGAGACTTGTCTGGACAGCAGGGGGAGCCCTGGAAAGGTTGTAAGCAGGAGAAAGCCTAGGTTAGGTTTGTGCTGTACCAGGATCACTGTGACAGCTGGTGTGCAGCAAGGCCAGGGCCGGGGCAGGCCAGCAGTGGGGGATCAGAGAGGAGCAGAGGGAGGGACCCAGGGAAGGGGAGGAGTCAGGGCAGCGGAGAAGGTAAGGTGATCACTCTGAGGGCTCTGAGGTAGAACTCGCTAGCTCACTAGGTGTGTCTATGTGGGGCTGGGGGAGTGGGGACAGAGCCTAGGAGCCGGGGAAGAAAAGAGGCTTAGAAGGTAGAGAGTGAGGAGGTCTATACGTCTGCAAAACGAAACCTCAGCTGGCAACAACCATATCCTGGATTAGTTTCTCTATTGCCCACCACTGTGGCCACAGGCCGTCACCTACTCAAAACGACAGCTCCAACATTTTGAAAAGAGATGAAGAAATGCAAGCAGCATTAACTCAATGAGGATAACTGAGGCTGCCCCCCTCCTGCCTCATCCAAACTCCTACATCTCTCTGTCCATGTACAGAGTTAAGGATGGAAGAGATGAGGCTTTTCGGTTCTGGGTAATTAAACAAAGGGGTGGGAGACTCCAAGGTGTGGCCAGGTCATCAGGAGATGGACAGAGTGAGGGCTGAACCCAGACCCACACTCGAAGTCTCTGCCAGAGACACCAAGGCCTCACTCTCAGGAGCTTGCTGCAGGAAGAGGAATCTCTCCTCCAGGGCCGGGTGGCCCCTTGCTTTCTATTAAAACAAGGTCAGGAGAAGAAACGACTTGTTTGTATAGATTCCCGGGACTGGCTTCAGGGAGGCAGACTGCTGCTGAGACCACGGGAGCACTTTCTAGGCCATGTCTGTCCAGGCAGAAAGAGCCACAGTGGGAGTTGATGAAATTCATGCTACTCAGCAACCCTTGCAGGTCCTGCCAGCTGCGCACCCGGAGGCTGGGCGAGTCTGGCCGACTCTGGATCGTACCTCAAAGTTGGTGTTGTTGTTATACGGGTGTTTCGACTCCCTCACTTGCACCTCCATTCCTGGCTCCTCCATGAACTGGCAGGCAGCCAGGGCCATGGTGCCTAGCATGCTCTCTCGGCAGCCCTGGAGCACCTTCTGCAGTATCTGGTGGGACACAGGCAGGAAACATGGGGAGACGGTGACAAAACTTTGTAGTCCAGCTAGAGACTGTGCCCAGGGCTCCTGAGCTCTGCTATGTGGCGGGAGTGGAAGAGGTGCTTCCAGCCCCGTGGAAGTTTGGTAACCCGGCACTACTTCAAAAGACCAAGTCAAAGATGTGATTTAAAAACGAAACAAAAGATGATCACCACTTGTCAAGGTGAAACTTAAAATTAGAGCACTGGAGACTTCCCTGGCGGTCCAGTGGTTAGGACTCCGTGCTTCCACTGTGGGGGGCACGGGTCTGATCCCTAGTCAGGGAATTAAGATCCCACATGCCGCAAGGTGTGGCCAAAGAAAAAAAAATTAGAGCACCGGACTTGAGAGAATGCACAGACGCTGGTAAGACCCCATGTCTGCCACCCACAAGCTGGGAGCCTTGGACAAACCTCCCGGGCTTGATTTCTTCACCAATAAAACTCCCTGGGTCACAAGGTAACACAGGTGTAAGTGCTGGCAGAGTGTCTGACCTGAGGTAGACATTCTAGAAACCATGGTTTAAAACAGAGGACATAAACCTTCCTGGAAGGCTTCCTGTATTACGGGAACAGGCTGTCAGGATCATAATTAACCCTGTCTCGCAGACTTCACACTGTGTGAGACCCTAGGGAACATGAGAAGAGACAGGCTATCAAGGAGAGTTAGACTCATAAGTCTGAAAACAGAAAAGGAAAACTGCAAGGGTAGGTTTCGTGGATCGTTACATCACTCTCTGAGCACCAAGTCTGCCTAGGCCATGAGCTCGGCTCCAGGCCAGTACTTGGGAGAGTTTAACAGCGACCTGACCCTGCCTTCGCTGCGTTCACACCTGTCAGAGGGGCTGTACAGCCACACAGGTAACGTCACTCCAGGAAGGCACTCCCTAGAGGAAGCCTATTCAAACCCCCCAGCGGGGGGCTGGGAGGGACACAGAGGAGGAGCAAGTGGGGTGAGCGCCCAGCCCGGCTGCCTGATTACCTTCTCCCACTGGTGCTTTTCTTCCAGCTGCATGAACATATCCAGAATGTAGGTCATGTGGGCAGGGCCACTCAGCTCCAGGATGTCCTCGCTCACCGGCACGTGCCCTGGCCACTCAGCGAGCAAGGATGCGAGCACGTGGCGGGCGTACAGGACTGCTGTGGCCTCATTCACGCGGAAGAGGTAGTCGCGCACAGCCCTCTTGCTCTTGCAGTTGAGCTCTTTGTGCAGGAGGGCGGCGCTCTTGCTGCGCCGCTGCTTGGCATAGCTCTGCTGCAGTTCACTCTCCGTGCTGGAGATCAGCTTCTGGGTCACGGGGTTTGACTCCATGGTGGCCTGGTCACAGCGTGCGGGCCGGGACTGCAACCCAAAGACCACCGTCACAGAGGCCTGGCCTTCTCACAACTGGGGTGGGGGCAGGGCAGACACCTTGCTTCCCAGGTGGGGCAACATACCAAGCATGGTAATATAATCATGTCTGTATCCACAGCTTTGGCGCTCTGCTCGTCCAGTCTCAGACTCCTGCTGGGCTGCCATCTCTGAGCCAGGGTCCGTATCCTTTCATCAGTGGTGAGCTCATCCCCGTCAAACCTGAAGAGAAGGAAGGAACACAAAGTTGGGCACCCTTGTTACAGAAAGGCAAGAGTTTAACCTGCAGTGAAACTTGCAGAAATGCCGATCCGAGTTATTTTCCTGTTATTTCGCAATTACGTTCCATATTTCGCACACTAGATTCACAGTGTTCATCTATTCGTGCACACAAACGGGCACACAAACGTGCACGCATGCCCATGTGCCCAAAGCAGAGATGCAGGCCACCCCTTAGGATCCATTCTTCCTTTCATTTAGAAACAAAGTTCCCTGAAGTTTTAGCAAGATACACAATCACCCAGCTGGAGACACAGTTCCCAGTCCTCCTAGCAGCAATGCAACTAGGGTCACGCCAACGGGAGGCCAGTGAGGTAACGTGTGCCATTTCCGCAGCCTGCCCGCAAACAACTGGGTTAAGGATGAGCTCCTTTCCCCACCTTCCCCCTTTCCCCTGGGCTGGAACAAAGAGCTGGTGTCGGGGAGCCAGCTCTGACGACACAGATGAGGACAGCACCCTTGGGGGTGCGGGGTCCCTTGTGAAGCAGACCACCCACCCACCCTAGGCTGCTGCCTACCTCTGGACTGCACCATGAGAGGGAAAACAAATTCCATCTTCCTTGACCATGATACTTCTGTGTCCTAACTGATGCAACCCTGCCTCATCTCACAAAGGATTTGAGGCAGTAGATAAGAAATACATATGGGAAAATAGAAATATGAAATAAAATTCAATTGGAATTGGATATAAATCAGAACAGGAAGCCAAAACTAGGCTGTGGGGGGTGGAGGAGGAGATTAGTTGCAGAAACATAAAGTTCTCCACAAATTTAAGAGCTGGGCCCGGGAACTAGCTCTGAACTTCCTGGCCAAGAGCAAGGGTGTATTGTTAATTTTGTAGTAATCCTTGAAGAAAAAACACGAAAATAATGTACAGAAGTGAAAAAACAAACAAACGAAAGGACACTTTTGACCAGAATGTACCACAAGGTCCTGCTCTGCACCGTTTGCTCCCTGGGCTGACGTGGGAGAGAAACCTTGGCGTCTGTGTCAAAACTCTGCCCCCACAACGAGTTTACTCTAAGAGGCAGACTGCGAAGATAAAGCTCTTCCTAAAGGAGAAGCACACAACACAACTCAAAGATGAGCCATGCGGTGTGGCACAGCCAGCTTTCATGTCGCTTTATGAAGAACTGAAAACCAACTGCTCTTTGGCCCATCAGGAGTTTTTATCCAGATCTAGTTGGCAGGAGGTAAACAGAGTCCCGCCCTTACTTGTTGCCTCACTCACTACACTGTGGCTGCATCTAAATGTCCCTTACCTCTTCTGAACCTCCAGGAAGAAAGAGTCAGTCCTCTTCATCTGCAGTTCGTATATGGCCCGGAGAATGTGCAGAGGGGCATTGAGGGCGTCGTGAGCCATCTGAAGGCCACAAGGAGGAAGTAGAAGAGAGACAATTTAAACTGCTTTAACACATTATTGATGATCTGACCTCAAAAGTGATAAAACAATTATTTCCTAAAGTTACCACAAGTTATAATTTAAGAACATCACATGGGCACTTCATGTATGTAAGGCTATAAGCCCTGGGCTTCCCTGGTGGCGCAGTGGTTGAGAGTCCGCCTGCCGATGCAGGGGACACGGGTTCCTGCCCCGGTCCAGGAGGGTCCCACATGCCGCGGAGCGGCTGGGCCCGCGAGCCATGGCCACTGAGCCTGTGCGTCCGGAGCCTGTGCTCCGCAACGGGAGAGGCCACAGCAGTGAGAGGCCCGTGTACCGCAAAAAAAAAAAAAAAAAAAAAAAGTTTATAAGCCCTAAAACATGGACTATAAAATCTGCATTACTGTTATAAATTCAAAGGAAGATATAAAACATAGAAACACCAAAAAAAAAAGTCATGCAAACAAACGTACTGTTAATAGTCAATAATTCCCCACCAAATTGTATTCATTGCTAGCTTCTCTGTAGCAGCTGCCTTGCACTCAAGTTTGTTAAGTGGCACATAAGTCTAAGTACTGGACTTTCTTTTGATGTTTTTAAAAACTGTACTTGCTTTTCTTATATCCACCCCATACTCTCTGTTTACTCTTCACACAGTTAGACCCTTTGAAGTCCAAGCCCTTGCCCATTTTCACATCATTGTGAGGAAGAGTGGATTATCCAGGGAAAGTAGGAGTGTGTCTGAGAAACTGTGAAGACAGACTGTCACCTGGGGATTTATGGACAGGCCTGAAATTACATGCAAAATTTTACAAAAGTTATTTGCAAGTATAGTTTATGGGAGAAACGATCTAAAGCTTTTGGGTCCATGACCCCCCAAACATTAAGAACTACTGTTGTAATAGGGCTTTTCCATCCCTCTGGACGAATTCTGCACAATACCGACTGAGTCTTCAGGAAGTGCATTCTCAGGACATCAGTCTGAAGCATTTTCACACGGAGGCTAAAACACAGCCCAAGCCAAAGAGAATCCTTTCCTTAGAGTCCCTTCCTCAGTCCACATCGTGACCCAAGAACGTACCAAGAAACATATCCTGGTGGGCTCATCCAGGCTTTCGAGAGGGTCCAGCTTCTTCTGCTCTGGCTCACCCGGGCTGCTGACTGACCGTTCCACCTCTTCCTCTTGGTCCCCTTGCTCATCCAGCTCCAGCTCTCCATGCTCAGCCAAAGTGCTGATCTCCTTTTTTGAGGAGTACAGCATGATGGACAAAATCTACACAGAAAGAAAATCGGGCAGGACAGGAACATGAATGTTTAGTGGGTGAGATCTTTAACCCTCAAAGGGTAGAAAATATCTGACTGAACCTTTTAAAAGACATCAGAATTCACAAAAAGAATGTAAAATTAGTAAAGAAATATGAAAACATGTTCAACCATACTTATAATCAAAGAAATGCTGACTAAAAACTACAAGGGATTGTGACCGCCTGGAGGGGTGGGATAGGGAGGGTGGGAGGGAGGGAGGGAGACGCAAGAGGGAAGAGATATGGGAACATATGTATATGTATAACTGATTCACTTTGTTATAAAGCAGAAACTAACACACCATTGTAAAGCAATTATACTCCAATAAAGATGTAAAAAAACAAAACAAACAAACAAACAAAACACTGGGAACAACCTAAATTTCCAACAGTAGGAGTTTGATTAGCGCACATCTCACACAAAGGAACATTCCTTACAAATAATGACAAATTTCTATTGGTTTTGAAAAGCGTTTGTTAGATGATATTTAGAGAAAAGCCATGTTATATAGTATTACCCTATTTTGTAAAAATATGTGCATAGAATAAAAGACTTTAAGAACACTGAAAAAAAAATTAAAAAAATAAAAACTACACGGGACCTTTGTGTTTAACTTTGCCACTGATGGTGTAAGTTATCATGCTTTTAGAAGGCATTTTGGTGAATTGTAAAGAGCTACACACATGTTCATAACTTTTGACCTGGTAACTCATCTTCTAGGAATAATGTAAAATGTGTAAAAAGCTATACTCTTGATATGGTCAATGAAGCATTTAATAATGGCAAAAAACTGAAATCCATCTTTATGGATCATCTGCAGCCATTAAGGATGGTCGCTATGAAAACTACCTAGCAACTTAGAAAAGTGGCCATCACATGACCTCAATTTATTTCAACAGTGTGCTTCATTGTACAATCTAAACCTATGTATGTAATATAAACACAGAAGGAAAAAAATTAGAAAAAGGAAATACACATAATACTAACGGTAGCTGTGTTTGCGGGGGATGAAATTTGGAGTTTTTCTTTCTTTTCTATTTTTCAAACTTTCTGAATATAAAAAATAAAAGTTTTTGAATGTAAAAAACATTTACTTTAAAATATTTCCTAAAGAACAAGAGCTCAAATGCTCACCAGGTTATCCATTAATATGTTTTAGCGTATTTTCCTAAAACCTAACCAAATCCTCCTGTGGCAACTGAGAGCTGTTTCCTGGAGCTCAGGCCTCTGTGTGACTGAGAATGGCCAGCTGAGCACCCCCATACAGCAGCAGCCTTTTCTGACCTGAAGCTGACACTTGGCACAGAAACGCCCCAGGGAACCACAGTAATTCCACCATGAAAAATCTAAGGCCTGGGCTTCCCTGGTGGAGCAGTGGTTGGGGGTCCGCCTGTCTCATCTTTTCTGTTGCATGTGAAGTTTTCTCCCAGCTGCCCCTTAAATGTTGGGTGTTCTCTGGAGTAGTGTTCTTTAGCCATAATGCTTCTCCTCTTCCTATATTATTACTTCTCAAACTTTTAAAACATACCTAATGTTTCCCTTTGCTATATCTAAAAAAAAAAAAAAAAAAAAAAAAAATCTAAGGCCTATGGCGAAAAGTAATAAAATGAAAATTATCAAGTAAAATCCTACATAAAATAAACATAAGTGAGGACAAATTTAGGAATTGATTTTAGCTCAAAGGAAGTTTAAAGGGAAATAATAATTCAAGGGCAGATTTACTACCATGATAAAATTGGTCAACCGTGTGTTTCCACAAAATACTTCTCTTCCAATATTCTTTGAACAAACATCAAATTCATTTTCCCTGACAAGGGAGGACAGGTGTCATAATCTCTATTTCCAAAAAGGAAGACAAATATAAGACACTGTTTTAACAACTGCACCACATGAGAGTGTACAGGGCAGAACCAGCTGTAACTGACTGGTGGTTCTAACTCCCAGGCCAGTAAATCTGCATCAGGA